TGGGTTATTAAGCTCTTGATTAAATTAATATATGGTGAAGCATGCATGTTACTTTGTAAATTCACAAATCTCTTTGTTTTTGCGGATAGCAGGCTAACAAGAATTCGAGAAGATAAAAAGCAACCACTTCACCTTTTGGATGCTTTTCATCGACTACTTGTCAAAGAATTGGATAATGATGGGAAAAAACTTGTCCAGCCTGTTAACAAATGTCAATGGCAGCTGTGGAGTAAAGAAAAGCCACATGAATTAGGGAAATACAATCGTCAATCTCGTTCCGTCGCTGATCTAAAAGCAAAAGGCATCCACTTCAAACCTAGTTCATATTGTTTGAATAATATCAAGTTCAAATCCTATCCATTTCATGGGCAACTTCAACTCCCGGTTTTGTTATTCAATTTCTATTCCAAGCTATTCTTTACACAAATGATTGCATATGAATCATCTCCAGAAAGCGAGACGGATATTATTATAATATGTTATGTTAATTTCTTAAAATCGCTCATTGTTACACCTGAAGATGTGAAGGAACTGAGAGAAAAGAAGATATTCTTCAGCGCCCTGGACAGTGATGAAAAAGTTGTTGAAGTAATCAAAGAGATTGATGATACTTGTGGACATTTGGTAGATAGTATTTTTGAGGATGTGAAGATTGGAATTGAGGAGCACTGCAGCAGCAAGGCAAAAACATGGATTGCTGAACTAATTCACACTTATTTTCGCAATCCATGGACTTTTATTGCCTTACTCGCTGCCACTTTTCTTCTTTTCTTAACTTTTCTTCAGACCTATTACACAATGAATCTCAAGTAAGGTGTTAGTCAAATTCCTATCTTCAAGTTTTAATTGAGATGTGTTTTGACTCTTCCAAGCAAGAGAGGTTTGATGCATTTGAATTCTTTGTAATAATATATGTTTTTATTATTATAATTCAAATCTATCAAAGTTGTGGAATAACAAATGTTTTTCTAATGACATAGATTGAAAACATTGGTTGTAAGTTCTTGAATTCATAATTTGAATGCTAAGAATCTGGAGAGAAACTATTCCCCGAAGATGTTAGCTTAATTTCCTTACCTCGAGAATTTCATTTACAACACCATAGTTTTCAGAAAGAAAAGTAAGAGAAGGGTGGGCAAATTATTGTCTCTGATCAATTAACTATTCACGATACTTAATATATCGCTTGATCAAGATGGGTTGATAGTGTTATATATTTATACAATAAATAGAATATGTGAAAGAAATAATTAATTAAGATAAAGTGCTCAACTGGTGAAATGTGTAGAATTTGTGTGGGAGGTCAAGTGTTCGAGCCACGCCTCACGCACTATATTAAAAAGTCTTTGATTGGGCCAACTAGTCAGTAGAATATGACAGT